ACCGGTAACATATAAGGGTATAAGGTGCATGAAAAAATTCTAGATAACTTTACTATAAATAACTTTTTATCGAAAGATCGTATTTTTATATACTAGGAACCAATATGATTTGAGGACTTAACCTTAAATGTAATTATCAATTAGCGCAAAAGATTTTTATTAAGTTACGAAATCGGGCACAAAAACGTTCTTCCTTTAATGCACATACCCTTTTCTCGATAGATTTAGCTAAATCAATCAGACGGCGTGGAAAGAGGGCTCATAAACAAGCAAAATCAATCAAAATTAAAAAAAAAATAGCGCATTATTCAAAGAAAGAAACGCGTGAGATGTTAAAAATTCACATGAGAATAACGAAAGAATAAATTTAATGTTTCTAAATCAACACCCATCAAAATATTTAAAAATGCACCACATAAACTAGCTTATTTCGTTCATCCCATCAAACTTAAAACAGCTAATCTAAAATTTAACCAAAAATCTAAAATGGCGAGGAAAGAAGGCTCATAAACAAACAAAATCCATCAAAATTACGAAATTTCCAAAGCTTCAACGTGAGAAAAGTTAAAAATTCACATGAGAATAGAGAAGAAATAGATATAATGCTCTTAAATCGACACCCATTTAAATATTTTGAAATCCATCACATAAACAAGCTTATTTTGTTTATCTCATCAAATTTAAGCAGATAATCACCAAGTACTAACACAAGATTAGACCCATCACGTGATCATTGACCATGGCAGATGTCTCTTCCTGTCCATTGTATTCACAACGGGCAGATAACAGAGCCCCAAAGAGCCCTTTTTCTGAGAAATACTTCAATTGAATAGTTTTGTAAAAAGTAGCATAGAAAATGATAATTGACAGGGCAATTTTGGTGCAATAAATAACCTGAAGTATTTTAAATGGAAAGAAATGGAGATTGATGTAATTTTAAGCTAGTTTCTCTCATTGAATGAATTTGTTTTATTCTTGTGTGGGCAGACGGAAATGCATGACTGACAAAATTTCTGTAGAAAATTTATACACCCCAAATTTCGAATGCTGAAATTTAGATTATGATTGACTTTCTTTAAGATTGATGAAATTAGAAGATTCCAGAGACCAGAGCTTTAAGCAAAAGCAGAAAATGTGGTTTTTTGCTTGGAAATATTAAGTTAGAAGAAAGTAAACTTATATTTGCGATTGAACATATTAAAAAAAAATTTTTATTAATTAAACTTAATTCACTTTTTTTTAGTTATTTTTGCTTATTACATAAAAAAATTACATTTTAATTTTTAGCATATTTTGAATGTTGCAAGATATTTTACAACATAATGGCCTGGGTCTCAAGAGATAAAACTTCGTATACCAGGCAATCCTTGTGATTTCGAATGTCGTATAACATATTAATCTGGGTCTCAAGAAATTAATGCTCCATCAACCAGGCTATCTTAGATTTGGAGTGTTGTATAACATATTATTCGAATGCTTTTGTGAATCGTTCGTCCGGTAGGGGTTTTAAACTGTAGTAAAGTTAAAGTTTTAAAAAAAAAATTTAAAATTGACAAAAGTGTAGCTTTAAACAATTTATTCGAAACAACACGTTGCATTATTTTATGCATTAAAAATTTGAGGAAAAATCGATCGAATTTCTAAAATTTATCAAGCTCTATTTTTTCTAATCTAATAAAGAAACCCTTTTTTACTTAAAAGGAATTATGCTGTCAAATAATACTGCATCATCAACAGCTTGTTATGTACAGTAAAATAACAACGCAAATCAAAATTTTAACCAAAAATCAAAGATGGCGATGGTAGAAGCTTCTTAATAATAATTTCAATTTTTGTGTATCATACCATATCTACTTAAACAAATCAAGGAATTTTTCGTAATTTTAAATTTAATGTAATTTTAAATTTAATGTAATTTTAAATTTAATTCATCCAAAGATAGCTTCTGGTAAAAAATATTTCCTATGATAATTATTTAATTTAATCTTAAAAACAAACTTTTGAATTAATTGTAAGACACAAAATTTTACTTTATTTTGAAATAAATAATTTTGAAAGCCACAGTGCAAAATTTGAGCGATATAGATAAAATAGATTCTCAGTAATATATTTCTTATAAATATTTTTAAATTTTCATTTCTCATGAGCTATTGAACTAGTTTCATTTAAATTTTAGATTTTGTCATTTAAGATTAAACTTTTTTTTAAAAATTTTTCCCCTTTGATACAACATGCATTTGCAGGCTTGTGTGCTCAATTAAGACTTTTAAACCTTTGTCTAATCGAAAAACAAATAGCACAATAGAGAAGGACAGCACAAAGATACATCCAGGGTAGCAGCGGGATTCCTACCTGCTACCTGCAGACTTAGCACAGCGTTTGGTGGGTCATACCGTACGGCCAGGGAGGCCATTTATTTAGTTTCGTGGATATGGGAGTAGTAGTAGTTCATTTACGTCACACTAGAGCTGCACTATGGGCTAATGGTGATGGTTTGGAAAACATTCCTGAGGATGATCCAAAGACATGCCATCACAATTTTGTTGATCCCCTGCAGAGGGGATGACACCCCCGCTTCGGTAGCCCGACGACCTGCACGCGAAGCCGAGCACTTATTTAGTTTCGAAGATATGGGAGTAGTAGTAGTTCATTTACGTCACACTAGAGCTGCACTATGGGCTATTGGTGATGGTTTGGAAAAAATTCCTGAGGATGATCCAAAGACATGCCATCACAATTTTGTTGATCCTCTGCAGAGGGGATGGCACCCTCTCTTCGGTAGCCCGACGACCTGCATGCGAAGTTGAGCACAAAAGTTTAACGGGGACCACTACCGCACACCCTCGGTCCCTACGCAGACTAATCCAAGTGGTCACTCACCCGCACACTGACCGCAAGTAGTGATGCTTGAAGCGAACAAAATTGAACTCAACAAGCAAAAATATCCCACTTTTTAAATTAAAAAATATATGGGAAAGAGTAATTAAATTTTCATACAACTATTGTATCAAATATATTATATAGTTTAAAACCGTAATTTCTCATCGTGCATGTTAGCGTCCGTTTGCGAGCGCTGAAGGTTTCCAGGGGATTTTCCAAAAAATTTATAATGTAACAACTCTCTCAATCTTAAAGTATCGCAGTGGACTATCGTAAAAACAATGTACCCAGCAGAACACAGAAGTTAAGCATCACTGGCTGCGATCAGTAAGCTGGTGGGTGATCACTTTGATTAGCCTACGTAGGGACAGAGAGTGCACGGTATCAGTTCTCGTTAAACTGTTTTACCGTAAAGTGCTCGACTTCTCGTGCAGGACGTCGGGTTATCAAAGCAGGGGAGCCATCCCCTCTGCAGAGGATCAAAATTGCGATGTCATGTCTCCGGATCATCCTCAGGGATGCTTCCCAAACAGTCACCAATAGCCCATTGTGCAGCTCTAGTGCGACGTAAATAAAGTATACCTACCTACCTCTCAATCTTAATAAATCTCTCAGTCATTACCTTCAGCAAATTTCTGCTTTCATTTTTTTCAATATGAGAAAGATCATAAAAGCTGTATTTTGAACTGAGTACGTTTTACGATCATGGGACATATTTGGAGGGTTGGTTGAGTTTACTAAAACATGCATTTTTTGTACAGAAATGTAGGGTCTTTCACTAACAATGTACAAAGAAATTATACATACATAAATGAATTTTTATGCATAAGTATGCAAGATTTTGTAGTCATTACAAAGCCAGCTTAAAGGTCATTGTCAAGTTAGGAGCAGATTGCATAAATTAGAGAATCAAATCACAAAGATACACCCAAGCTTATGGTAGGATTCGAACCCACTACTTCTACGCTACGCAGATTTTGGGGGATTGGGGAGACCGCTTGAGTAAGGAGTCCAAACATTAAAGTCCCTCAGTGAACTGATCGTAAAGACACGGTTTCCAGTAGAACACCAAAGTCAAGTATCACTGGATGCGGACAGTGTGCGGGTGGGTGACCAATTTGATCAGCCTTCGTAGGGACCGAGGGTGCGTCGTATCGGTCAATTCGAATTTAACAGCAATCCTATGTGCCTTCTTTAACGTCCTTATTATGTTGTTCGGTAATTTGGAGCAACTGCCTTTTAATATGAGAAGAAGTTTCAAGTCCTTTCTTTGAACAGTTTACAGATTTATGTAAAAATGAATAAAGCACTAAAGTAGCGAGTTCGATTCCCACAACAAATCTGTATTCTTAATATTCTCTGTATTGTGTTCATCGGTAATTAATTGCATCTGTCTTTCAGTATGAGAACGAGTTTAAAAAGATTTTTACTACTAAATACACAAGTTTACAGGTTAACAGATTCACATATATTATAAATGTAAAGTTTACGAACCATTATTGGATTTGTATGACTCAAGAATCTATATATTAGGTGAGTTAGTTCTACCTCAATTATCATACTATGAGCAGATCTTATTTCAATTTAGTGCTCTTATGTTATTCGCTTGTGTGCACTGAGCTCCCGTGATTTTAATACACGAACGTGCAATTTTCGATAATCTCCGATTCAATTCGAATCTGTATTTGCTTAGTAGTTTACTGTGTGTGTGTAAGTTTCAACAGCAATCGTAAATTTTTCGGCCAAAACGACAGGTTAAAAGTAAGGTCCAGATCTATGGTCAATAAAAGACTAAGGACCAGATCTAAGAATAATAAAAGAGTAAGGTCCAGATATAAAACAGGAAAGTTTACAGGTTCGTAGCCATTGTGCAGCTCTATTGCGACGTAAATAAAGTACCTACCTGTACCGTAGTTTAAAAAGAATTAGTATATCGGCTACGCGCCGTCTTACTAACTGTAACTGAGAGGGGGAATCCTGAATTCCTCACTCACGTGTAAACATTTCATTCATAACGTTTCTTCACTGTCTATCTGTGTTTTGCAAAGTTTGGTTTTTATTGAATTAGTTTAAAGATATTTTATAATTTATGTAACTGTTCTTAAAACATTGGAATAAAAATGTCCCAAGAGGAAACGGAGGACGCTACCACCGCTTCTGATGAAGAGTTATCAGAAAGGTCAATTTCTACCTTAGACACATCCGAAGCGAAAGCAGAACATTGTATGTCCGACTCAGTGGTGACTATTGATTATGATGAAGCCACGCTCAGATCACAAGATGTCGCCGATGAACATAGTAATACACCTGTAATTGGAACAAATGAATACCAGAGTATAGCCCTTGACCTCAGCAAAGGGAAATCTGCTGCCTGTGGCGTGAGTTCAAAAGATTCTCTTCTGTCATTCTCTCAGAATATCAAATTTTATAGCCCAACAAAGCAGATGGATATTTCTAATTTGAATATTGAGGAATCTAAACAATCAGACGCCACTAAATGTGCGAAGCATAATTTGCCTTTTAAAAAGCGGATTCTCTCTGGCGAAGGATTTGCANGGTTGCCAGGATTCACCCCACCTAGGTTGCCAGGATTCACCCCACCTAGGTTGCCAGGATTCACCCCACCTAGGTTGCCAGGATTCACCCCACCTAGGTTGCCAGGATTCACCCCACCTAGGTTGCCAGGATTCACCCCACCTAGGTTGCCAGGATTCACCCCACCTAGGTTGCCAGGATTCACCCCACCTAGGTTGCCAGGATTCACCCCACCTAGGTTGCCAGGATTCACCCCACCTAGGTTGCCAGGATTCACCCCACCTAGGTTGCCAGGATTCACCCCACCTAGGTTGCCAGGATTCACCCCACCTAGGTTGCCAGGATTCACCCCACCTAGGTTGCCAGGATTCACCCCACCTAGGTTGCCAGGATTCACCCCACCTAGGTTGCCAGGATTCACCCCACCTAGGTTGCCAGGATTCACCCCACCTAGGTTGCCAGGATTCACCCCACCTAGGTTGCCAGGATTCACCCCACCTAGGTTGCCAGGATTCACCCCACCTAGGTTGCCAGGATTCACCCCACCTAGGTTGCCAGGATTCACCCCACCTAGGTTGCCAGGATTCACCCCACCTAGGTTGCCAGGATTCACCCCACCTAGGTTGCCAGGATTCACCCCACCTAGGTTGCCAGGATTCACCCCACCTAGGTTGCCAGGATTCACCCCACCTAGGTTGCCAGGATTCACCCCACCTAGGTTGCCAGGATTCACCCCACCTAGGTTGCCAGGATTCACCCCACCTAGGTTGCCAGGATTCACCCCACCTAGGTTGCCAGGATTCACCCCACCTAGGTTGCCAGGATTCACCCCACCAAAGAAGCCAGGACCGAGCCCGCCGCAGGGGCCCGTAGTTAGCCCGCTGCGGAATTTATTGTTGGCCCCACCACTAATCCCAAGGGTGAGCCCACGGAAAAAGTCAGGGGCGAGCTCACAGAAAAAGTCAGGGGCGAGCTCACAGAAAAAGTCAGGGGCGAGCTCACAGGAAAAGTCAGGGGTGAGCTCACAGGAAAAGTCAGGGGCGAGCTCACAGAAGAAGTCAGGGGTGAGCTCACAGGAAAAGTCAGGGGCGAGCCCACCAATGGATATATCAGACAGCCGTAGAGACTTACAACACGACCCATCAGGGGATCGTTCGATGAGAGGACTAACGGAGAAACTAATTGAAGATTTAATTAAAGGCATACCATTTCATGCTGGAAGTTATTCTAGTATTAGAGTTTCAGGTCCATTTGATAGTGGTACTAAAACTTCTAATTTAAACCCAGTTCCAGGTCCATCTAACACTGTACCTAGTCTCCTAGGTACACCTGGCAGAAGTGCAACAAAAATGTCTAAACCAGAAGCTGTCCTTAATATATCTAGTGCTAAAGCAGCTGAGCCTAAAACGGAAAATATATTTGATGCTAAAGCAGCTGAGCCTAAAACTGAAAAAACATTTGATGCTAAAGCAGCTGAGCCTAAAACTGAAAATACATCTGATGCTGAAGCAGCTGAACCTGAAACGGAAAGTACATCTGATTCTGAAATTACTTCTCACAAACGAGATTTAATTTAAAGCATTGAATTCGAAAGCGATACAAATATTTTTATTAAGTAAAAGATTTGCCATGAGTATGTTTGAGTACTCTTTGCATTAATTACTAAAGAGGTAAAGAACTTATAGAAGCAACGTAACAAATGAAGAATTTACACTACATATTAAATAGCTTAGCATAATAGAATATTTAAAGCTTGAATACGAAAGCTGATAAAATTTCATAGATAACTTTCATTTTGTGTTTATAGTGAAAAAACTTGAATGCTTATTTATAATCTGTTTGTTTACCATCATTTTTAAAATATTGAACGTTTTCTAGAATTCATCAAATTCCAGCAATACATCAAATTATATTTTAGAACGTCAGAAAGAAAGATAAAAAATCATAAATCCTTATCTTCCAATGTTTTGTCAACTCTTAGTTCTATTTCATTTTACTTGAATTTAAATGTTTTTGAAGATTTCTATTTTTATGTAGTTTATTATAATAAATGTTCTAGATGATTTTTGGTTAACTTTTTCTCCAGAGACATGTCATTATTTTTAATGTAATAAATCAAAAATATACTTTTAAATCTAGATTAAATTTCAGTAGAAAATTAAATAAGATTTCGTATTTTGTGCGCATAATTTATGCATGTTTTCTTGCCCAGTTGGCTTTGGACTGATTGTAAATACAGAATATTTCTCAACTTTTAAGGATTAGTAAATTTCAAGAAATTATTTTTTTTCCTTCTTCAATTTAATGAATATTCTGCATGTTCTAAATTGAAGTTAAAAATATTTAACTATACAACAAAATGCAAATACATTACAAAATATTTAAAACTTTATTTTTAAATTATTTAGGAAAACTATCTTATACTTAAACATCTGAAATATACTGAGCATTCCAAATATTTAAAATTGGTATTAGTTCTTAAGTTTTTATTATGTTTTGAGTAAATTCTTATGTTTTTAATTCTCATTTAATTTTCATGAATAAACACTTGTTAGATATTTACTTAGCAGGATTTTTCAAAGCTTGTAAAACAAGACTGTCAATCAGAATTTGAGAAATGTAGCAAGCGGTATTTAAAATTCCTAATTTTTTCCAACAATATATTATACAATGAAGCCACCACCATGTCGCTACCTTGTCTGTTTACAACCACATTTGGGAGGGACTGAATTTTTTCCATAGACTTTATGTTTAAGAAAAACTTTAGCAAGCGGGCAAACCTTTGCACCAAATGCTGAAAAGGTCATGTAATGAAACACTAAAAAATATTAAAAAGAATAAGTAGATTAAAATTTATTCAAAATATTTGTTTTAGGTTCTTCTATAGAGATCTCTTTCTTTTGACAATCTCTGAAAGATATCTTCAGTCTCATGTTGTGATCAAAGTGCACTGAAGGAGATGCTATCAATGATTAAGTTTTAGAATTGAAAGTCAAATTAGAAAAAAGTTATTTTTAGAAAAAAACTAAGCCTCTCAAACAAACCTTTTCTTTTTTTAAAACAGACTCATTTTTATGAAATAAAACTAAATACAAACTTAAACAAAAAACATTGTTTATTTTTTTTAAATAGTTCTATCAATCGTTATTGGCAAATTTGTTTATACACATAATTATGTCAATAGGGATTACTATTTACGCTAATCATTAAAATCATTTGCGCAAATTAAAATCATTTGCTATAAATCATGTACCTTCAATAACATTTTGAAGTCAATGGAAATAACCCTCTTAGAACGACCTACCTCCATTAACGACCATTTTAATGCGGAACAGTTTGTCTCTCCCAAGAGGTTTTGTTGTACCGATATAATTCAGCAATCAGATTTTTAAAACGGGAGTCAGCTATTATACTGCTGTGTAATTGAAGAAAAAAAAACGTAATTGAAAATCTGAATCTCTTCCTGAACTTTCCGTTTCTAGCATTTTCTGAAAGCTTGTTTGAAGCATGTTTAAAAGGCCTCTTTCTTTCAGATCGTACTCAATCGTCAGAACGGTGTAAACAAAAGGAAAATATTCTAAACATTCTTTAAATCATGTTTAAGTTTCAAAAATCTTACGTCGATATGTAATTTACTCGGCAGTATCGTACTAAATTTAACGTCACCTAGAAAGAAAAAAGCATAACTGGTGAAATAATATAATTTTCAGTGCTATTTTTATAAAATTATGGCAACGCAATTCTGAAGTCAGCATTTTTTAAAAGGTATTATACGTTAGATGTTTTATAAGATTCTATATGCTTATAAGATATGTAGGTTACGCGAAGGAAATTTTTTTGCATCTCCCAAATAAGCTTTAATTAGTATAAACAATAATAAAAGTAAACTTGAAAATAAATCTTTAAAAAAATGTATATAATTAATTTATTCGTCCAAAGCCGCATAATTTTATTGCTTTATAGTTTTGATAAAAAAAAGTCCTATGTTCTAAAAACGTTATTGCATGTCGTAACAGAATCCTCGAAAAACAATTTTTAGGTAATTTTTCGAAGTTCTTCTATCAGCGAGCATCAATTTAAAACTTTAACTTGCTGAAAAAAAATTTACAGAACTTTAAAAGTGACAAATAGCTTAAGTATTTTAAAATATTTTCCTTTAAAAAAAATCGCTGATATGACGAAATTTTCCCTCTCAGAAAATCGTTAAGATTACTAATCAATTTTCAAAGTTTGCACGTTTTTATCGCTTGATACAATAACTGCATACTGTTTTTCGAAAATTAAAAAATTAATTCGGGCACGCTTTTTATTTTCATAAAAGTATAGATCTCTTTCATATTGACATTTTGTGTCATTCTCATTATTAGTCTACATCAGAGTTTCTTAAACAGTAGGTTTCGACCTCAACTAGGGTCGAGAAATTGACCGATATTTCTATAACTTACATTGCTGTATTATATTTTTCTGTTAATTATTTAAATCTTTCACATCTTTCTATGTCTTAAAATTAAAACCGAAATAATATATTACAATACAAGTGAAGGAATTGACAGTTTCTTTCACTCATGTAGCAGAATAGCGCAGTATTTATGAGATCCCACCGATTTTCATGAATATTGTGGGGTCACCTCACTAAAAAGTTTAAGAAACACTGGTCGAGATCAGCAGTTTCCAATATTTTTCATCTGTGGAGCCCTAAAAAGTCGACCCTCTTTAGGCGGAACCCTGAGACCTAACGAACACATTAAATTAGCGATTGTTGTTGTTTCTAATGCCATCAAGGCCTGTTTAATGAAACCAAGCGAATTTAAGGCAGCGGGTGCGTTTCTTGTTTTTCAGTGGCGCTATTTTTGACCAAAAATACGACTTCAACCACACACACGTCACAGTCCGTTTATTGGAAGGACACCTTCATGCACCCATTCACCCACAGATGAATGAATGGATTTATGAATGGGAATCCACAGGAAGTAATTTTGAGCTGAACCAGAGAACGATCAATTTCCAATTCAGTACCCCTAGAGGTAGGATTTGTTACGGGAACATGGAGAACTTTATGACCCGATAGATTTAACGTGTACCAGTTACCATTTACTACACGGTGAGTCCTCAGCTGGCTGATATCGAACTTAGGATCTCTTGTTCATGGGCCCAAGGCTTTACCAACCAGGCTATCCCGGATCTATTAGTAAATGTGAACATGTAAATTAACGAACCACTATTATTTTGAAGATATGAAATAATCTAAATTTTTTAATTATTTTGAAAATATTTAGTGAATGAACAAAGAAGGAATTTTTTCATCATATCATTTTATCAGCATTAGTCATAAAATTGGGGGGGTTCGCGAGCAGGTCGTCGGGCTACCGAAGCGGGGGAGCCATCCCCTCCGCAGAGGATCAAAATTGTGATGGCATGTCTTCGGATCATCCTCCGGGATGTTTCCCAGACCGTCGCCAATAGCCCATTGTGCAGCTCTAGTGCGACGTAAATTAACAACA